GGGGTGGAGGCCTGGTCGAGGACCGGGCCGCGGGGACACTAAAAGAGTCCAGAAATCATCTCAAGATAACCTCAAGATGGGGGGCGGGGGCGGGTGTGGTGGGAGAGCACCATGACCACTGGGGAAAATAGTGATTTTATAAAATAGTGAAAATAGAAATACCTCACCATCCAATAAGACAATGATAATAACGCCCAGAATATCAAGCGATGAGTCACAATAACGTGGCTAATCACAATCGACTTGAGAATGGTCCAGGACGGACCGAAACGTCGTCGTCCCTTCACCTTCTAGTGTGTGGTCTGGTCAGCCCAGAATATCAAGTTCCCTTTCGTAAGTAGCGCTGTAGCCTATCCAAAAAAATAATCCTCGTAGCTTCGTTTAACATTTGTATTCAAGCTCTCCAGGCAGTACACCAATATTGTTGTTGTTATAGATTCAGCTACTCGGAACAAGTTCCAAGTAGCACGGGCTATGGTGAGCCCGTAACTGTACACCAAGCATGAGAGGCAGCATATTAAACTAAAGAACTGATATATGCGAAGGTCATCATTTGAACAATTTGAACATTTACAGTATATTGTCGAGAGAGTGAGGGAGGTTGGGGTTAGTAGCTCATGGAGGGAGTTGGGGAATTTTGGGTAGTGGTCGGGAGGAGTAATATATATATATATATATATATATATATATATATATATATATATATATATATATATATATATATATTGTGACGGTAAAGTGTTGGAGTGTTGATGTTCGGCAGTCCTCCAATGGCAGGTGTCAATGCCTTGTCACACTTACATAAAAAAAGAGACTGCTTGTCTGTGGTAAGGTAATGGGAAGACACACAAAACACAAAATATAAACAATGAAATTTTAATTACTTTAGAAAACAAGATATGAACAAAGACAATCCCTTGGCTTACGTAAAATTCAAAACAAGTCAACAAACAAAACATGAATAATTAATAGATGTGAAAATTTACTCTAAAACAAAATAATGTGCAAGGCAATAATAATAATCAGGTGCTGAGAATATTGGCTAGAGCTGCCACCTCCCTTAGTACACGACAGCCAGGGCTTAGTCTACCAGAGAGAGATGTCAACTTCTAAGAGCACAGAGATATTCTGAGGAGGACGGCGTGAGCTGGCCCAGACGTCGACTCAGGTAGAGGGCGTGAGTGCAGGTGCAGGTGTGCTGTCGGCGATACACCAACCAATCAGGAGCAGGCAGGCGGAGAATGGGTACTTTGCTCGTTGACGACGGGTGGAGAGCCGGCGTGTCGGGTGGTGCAAGGTACGCTTTGCTTCCTGGGCAAAACGTTTGGTGATACTGGTGGACGTATCTTTAATATAGCATCTTGTACTTGTAGAATGAGGTAAATGATATAGGGAAGAGCAGGCTCAATCTCTCTTGAAAGAGATTATCGTCACAATATATATATATATATATATATATATATATATATATATATATATATATATATATATATATATATATATATATATATATATATATATATATATTAATATATTTTGGTAGCAGTCTTTCCTGTAGACATATATTATTAAATATGACCGAAAAAGTAAGATTAATAATTCTAACACTAATTTTCTCTTACGTTTCTTTTCTTTCTTACGTTTCTTTTCACTGTTGATGGTAATTCAAAGATCAATTCTCCAAAATTCATTTTTATTTCTAGTCTGACGCGACACTTGAGCGCGTTTCGTAAAACTTATTACATTTTCAAAGACTTTAGTTTACAAACACACAACTGAAACTGAATAGAGCTTGCACATCTTCGAGTTTATATCTACATTTGGGTGAGGTGGATATGATATGTGGGAAGATATGATATGTGGGAAGAGATTATATGTTCCATTAAGGAACATATAATCTCTTCCCACAAACAAACCATCACCAGAGAAATCTTAGCAAACAACACAGAAATCATCGATAGATACAGCGATAGCAGGCGGCTAGACGTCTGCGAGGCACTACACATCAAGAAGTCAACACCAGCAATCAACAGCCAATTAATGCACAACTATATTCTACCCACTTCAAGACTCCGCTCCAATATAGAAGCATCAAGAAATATGGACCAATAGGCTTTCTACAATTACTTCCATTCAATATCCATTGTTTCGTGTTCTGTCTTGTGTTTGAATTTAATACCCATTTAATACCCATTGTTGAAAGTTTGTTTTCACCTCATCCACCTCACCCAAATGTAGATATAAACTCGAAGATGTGCAAGCTCTATTCAGTTTCAGTTGTGTGTTTGTAAACTAAAGTCTTTGAAAATGTAATAAGTTTTACGAAACGCGCTCAAGTGTCGCGTCAGACTAGAAATAAAAATGAATTTTGGAGAATTGATCTTTGAATTACCATCAACAGTGAAAAGAAACGTAAGAAAAATAGAGAAAATTCGTGTTAGAATTATTATTCTTACTTTTTCGGTCATATTTAATAATATATATATATATATATATATATATATATATATATATATATATATATATATATATATATATATATATATATAATACATGCATAGTGTTAATACATAATATATATCAATAATATATTCCAAATGCCCAAAACAGCAACTGATGACCGGAAATTTAAGTTTGACAGTGAAATGCGGCAGAAATGGACCGTAGAGTTATTTTTATTTGAATCTGCCCTCTTTAATGACTAACCATCCTGTGTGATGGGGATTTTAGCCCCACGTAGCTAGCTTTTTGACACACTGTACTCCACTTCGTATATTCTAGGATAGCTGCACAAATGTACCTAAATGTTTTAATAATAAAAAAATTAATGATAAAACAGAACTAGCTGCACTACAGCTGGCTATCAGTACATTAAAAAATCACAGGTAGAGGAATAATATTTGGTGATTCAAAGTCTGCTCTTCAAGCAATGTAAAACGTCTGCAAGATCGACAGTAAGAACTTCATAATAGCAATTATAAGTATGCTGATCGCTGCACAGAATAAAGGGTTTAGAATCTCTCTTGTAAGGAAAGCATCTCACATAAATATAACCTATCATGATGAGAGAGACTTTGCAGCCAAACTGGTGTGTAACAAGGATGAAGTGGAATTTAACATAGATATTCACATCTCTGTTGTCAAGATTATATTGTTCTAAACACTCAGGTCGAATAGGAGAGAAATTACCAAAGTTCCAAAGGGCTGAAACCTATAAAGTGCTTTGATTTGTTAAGATCCGAAACCTATGTATATGGGCAGCACAAAACGTGGACCAGACTGTGCGACACAGTGGTTGCCAGGATAAGGTTGGGTTACCGTTACCTATGGCTACAGGTGGCTATAGGTGACGGATCTCCCAATCCTGAGCACTCCAGGTGCAGGAATTGGGTCATGATCTCGCATAAAACCTTATTGAATGTCCAGCCATTAGACACTTCTGAACTGCTGGTTTGAGGTACCTGTAACTATGCCATGATAGTATCAATTCATGTGTTTTTGAAAATATCCTCATATAACCCATCCTCTTGAAGTGAAAGTACTTATGATGACCATTTGGTCCAGAGTACCAGTATGTAGTGATGGACCATCAATAAACCACTGTACTATTAATTCAGGAAAGAGTCAGGAAAAATTCAGGAGTCAGAAATTCTTGAGTTTCTAGAGAAAGAAATTCAGGAGAGAGTCAGAAATTCTAGAGTTTCTAGAGAAAGAAATTCAGGAAAGAGTCAGAAATTCTAGAGTTTCTAGAGAAAGAAATTCAGGAAAGAGTCAGAAATTCTAGAGTTTCCTGAGAAAGAAATTCAGGAAAGAGTCAGAAATTGTAGAGTTTCTAGAGAAAGAAATTCAGGAAAGAGTCAGAAATTCTAGAGTTTCTAGAGAAAGAAATTCAGGAAAGAGTCAGAAATTCTAAAGTTTCTAGAGAAAGAAATTCAGGAAAGAGTCAGAAATTCTAGAGTTTCTAGAGAAAGAAATTCAGGAAAGAGTCAGAAATTCTAGAGTTTCTAGAGAAAGAAATTCAGGAAAGAGTCAGAAATTCTAGAGTTTCTAGAGAAAGAAATTCAGGAAAGAGTCAGAAATTCTAGAGTTTCTAGAGAAAGAAATTCAGGAAAGAGTCAGGAAAAACAAACTAAAAACCAAACGTAAATATTGTTAGACCCAGTATATCACATGTTTGTATTATTATATCAGGCCAAAGATAGCCTTTATTAGGCCTGAGATTGCCATGAGAGGGTTCAGTTTGGTCTCATATTTATGTCGCGGTTAAAATAGCCTCCGGTTTGTGACTTTGTGACTACCGAAATAACTTTCGGTAGTGTAGTGATGAACTACCGGCCAGATGAAGCTGGATAACACCCAAAGAGGCCAGTTTTTTTCATAATTATTGTCAAGGCGAAGAACGAGAGGCGTTTTAAAACAAAAAATAATTACGGTCCTAGACTTGAATAGAAAACGTGACAGTTATGTGTCGACAGTGTGACAGTCACGTGTCGACAATGTGACAGTCAGATGTCGATAGTGTGACAGTCACGTGTCGACAATGTGACAGTCAGATGTCGACAGTGTGACAGTCACGTGTCGTGGACGTGACAATCTAAACTCGATCGAGGACTTGAGATACCTCAAGTCTCTTCTGGTCTCCTTAATCCCGCTTCTCTCCCTTCTACCTCCTTCCTCTCAGTCCCCTCCTCCGCCCCCCTGCCCCCTCCGGCTGCTACAGCTGTTAACATTATAGTAAGTACATGAGAGATGGTCCTCCCTCCCCTCCCCCCACTCCGCATGAAAAATGAGTCTGGCACTTGTGCCTGGCACAGTGCCACGACCGCCTCTGGAACCATTGCTTGCCAGCCTAACTTCCCTCCCTCCCTTCACTTGGGAGAGAGGAAGGGGGAGCTGGAGGGAGAGTGATGGGAGGGGGGGGGGAGGCGTCTGGGTATTAACTGTAGTGTTCAGCCTGGAAGAGCAAATGGAGATGGTTTCGAATTATATCGAACCTCCAGCCCTGCCTCCAGCCCTGCCTCCAGCCCTGCCTCCAGCCCTGCCTCCAGCCCTGCCTCCAGCCCTGCCTCCAGCCCTGACTCCAGCCCTGCCTCCAGCCCTGCCTCCAGTCCAGCCTCCAGTCCAGCCTCTAGCCCTGCCTCCAGCCCTGCCTCCAGCCCTGCCTCCAGCCCAGCCTCCAGTCCTGCCTCCAGTCCTGCCTCCAGCCCTGCCTCCAGTCCTGCCTCCAGTCCAGCCTCCAGTCCTGCCTCTAGCCCTGCCTCCAGCCCTGCCTCCAGTCCTGCCGCCAGTCCAGCCTCCAGTCCTGCCTCCAGTCCAGCCTCCAGTCCAGCCTCTAGCCCTGCATCCAGCCCTGCCTCCAGCCCTGCCTCCAGCCCTGCCTCCAGCCCTGCCTCCAGCCCTGCCTCCAACCCTGCCTCCAACCCTGCCTCCAACCCTGCCTCCAACCCTGCCTCCAACCCTGCTTCCAGCCCTGCCTCCAGTCCAGCCTCCAGTCCAGCCTCCAGTCCAGCCTCTAGCCCTGCCTCCAGCCCTGCCTCCAGCCCTGACTCCAGCCCTGCCTCCAGCCCTGCCTCCAGTCCAGCCTCCAGTCCAGCCTCTAGCCCTGCCTCCAGCCCTGCCTCCAGCCCTGCCTCCAGCCCAGCCTCCAGTCCTGCCTCCAGTCCTGCCTCCAGCCCTGCCTCCAGTCCTGCCTCCAGTCCAGCCTCCAGTCCTGCCTCTAGCCCTGCCTCCAGCCCTGCCTCCAGTCCTGCCGCCAGTCCAGCCTCCAGTCCTGCCTCCAGTCCAGCCTCCAGTCCAGCCTCTAGCCCTGCATCCAGCCCTGCCTCCAGCCCTGCCTCCAGCCCTGCCTCCAGCCCTGCCTCCAACCCTGCCTCCAACCCTGCCTCCAACCCTGCCTCCAACCCTGCCTCCAACCCTGCCTCCAGCCCTGCCTCCAGTCCAGCCTCCAGTCCAGCCTCCAGTCCAGCCTCTAGCCCTGCCTCCAGCCCTGCCTCCAGCCCTGCCTCCAGCCCTGCCTCCAGTCCTGCCTCCAGCCCAGCCACCAGCCCAGCCTCCAGCCCTGCCTTCAGCCCTGCCTCCAGCCCTGCCTCCAGCCCTGCCTCCAGCCCTGCCCCCAGCCCTGCCTCCAACCCTGCCTCCAACCCTGCCTCCAGCCCTGCCTCCAACCCTGCCTCCAACCCTGCCTCCAACCCTGCCTCCAACCCTGCCTCCAACCCTGCCTCCAACCCTGCCTCCAGCCCTGCCTCCAGTCCTGCCTCCAGTCCTGCCACCAGCCCAGCCACCAGCCCAGCCTCCAGCCCTGCCTCCAGCCCTGCCTCCAGCCCTGCCTCCAGCCCTGCCTCCAGCCCTGCCTCCAGCCCTGCCTCCAACCCTGCCTCCAACCCTGCCTCCAACCCTGCCTCCAGCCCTGCCTCCAACCCTGCCTCCAACCCTGCCTCCAACCCTGCCACCAGCCCTGCCTCCAGCCCTGCCCCCAACCCTGCCTCCAACCCTGCCTCCAACCCTGCCTCCAGACCAGCCTCCAGCCCTGCCTCGCAGACAAACATTAAGAAACACAGACACTCTCTCTTACAGTTTGTATACAAATATATAGTTAAACATGACCACATTGCTGGCGTTGTTCGTCCTACAGCGTAAGAGCTTTCTACGCGTCTAACTATTTTCTTAGTATCAATATGAAGAAAAACAATCAAGCTACCAAAATTCAGGGTAATGAAACTGGTAATTACAGAAGGATTTATTTACTACAACATTTCGTTCCACTCTAGAAGCCCCCAACCACTTGGGCTGGACGGTAGAGCGACGGTCTCGCTTCATGCAGGTCGGCGTTCAATCCCCGACCCTCCAAGTGGTTGGGGCACCATTCCTTCCCCTGCCCCGTCCCAAATCCTTATCCTGACCCCTTCCCAGTGCCAAATAGTCGTGATGACTTGGCGCTTTCTCTTGATAGGCCCCCCTCCACTCTAAAAGAGCTTCAGGTAAAGCTTAAATACATAAGGTGCAATTTTGGATAAAATATGCATGAGGACGGGAGTTGTGAAGTCGAAATTGGGTTGTGGAAGTTTTCACTGCGATCCCCTTGTCTGGTTGTTGTTGTTATTGTTCAGGATTCGCTACCTGGAACAAGTGCCAAGTAGCACGGGCTATGGTGAGCCCGTAGTTCCCCCCCCTTGTCCCATATGGCTGCTGCTGGGCTTCATTTAAGCTACACTGGTGTCTAGTATTGTTGTACAGTGTAGCAGTGAATCTGTGTGTGTGTGATTCCTAGCTGTGATACCTGGTATTTACAACCTCCGAGTCACACTTTGTCGCGAGCTTCTTATACGTCTCTAAACACAATGGAGCATTGCGCGCTCTTTTTCCCTAGTCGTAACATTAGCAATGAGCTCAGAGCTGAGGGCGGTGGCTCTGTGGGGCCGGGTTGAAGACGCATGGTTGTCTGATGTAATATTTTTACTCATCCTCAGTGAACTTCTCTCTTGTCTGTTACTATTTTTTTCCGAATTCTTAGCCTGTTGACTCAAGCCAAGAAATAGCTCCGTAGATTGCCCTTTGAGACGGTTTTCTCTGGCTTAGAGATCAATCTAGCGGAGGCGATTGTGAAGTATGTGGAGAAATATATATATATATATATATATATATATATATATATATATATATATATATATATATATATATATATATATATATATATATATATATATATATATATATTTATATATATATATATATATATATATATATATATATATATATATATATATATCCATCATAATAAATATTCCCTTCTCGTTCAATCGAATGTGAAATATAGCAGTTATGCACATGCCAATATTTCTGTACTCACCCTCTCGAGTGTTGGGAAAAATGGCTTGTCAATCACCAGTGTGGGAGTCAATATTTGGTGGTGGTAACGAAGTGAATTTGTTAAGTTTGCGGTCGTTCTTCAGGTTGGCTGAGTGCCTTTAGATGGTCGTTCCTCGTGTAGTCTGAGTGAGAGAGGGTCGTTCTTCAGGTCGGCTGAGTGTCAGAGAGGGTCGTTCTTCAGGTGGGCTGAGTGTCAGAGAGGGTCGTTCTTCAGGTGGGCTGAGGGCACTAGGTGTGTTTGTTACTCACTCCTGGTGAGTGCCAGCTTCCCACTCTTAAGTGTCTGTTTTACGTTCTTTCTCTCTCTTCTCTTTCTCTCTGTCTCTCTCTCTCTCTCTCTCTCTCTCTCTCTCTCTCTCTCTCTCTCTCTCTCTCTCTCTCTCTCTCTCTCTCTCTCTCTCTCTCTCTCTCTCTCTCTCTCTCTCTCTCTCTCTTCTCTCTCTCTGTCTCTCTCTGTCTTTCTCTCTGTCTTTCTCTCTGTCTCTGTCTTTCTCTCTGTCTCTCTCTCTCTCTCTCTCTCTCTCTCTCTCTCTCTCTCTCTCTCTCTCTCTCTCTCTCTCTCTCTTTTCTCTCACACACACACACACACACACACACACACACACACACACACACACACACACCACACACACACACACACACACAACACACACACACACACACACACACACACACACATACACCACACACACACACACACACACACACACACACACACACACACACACACACATACATACATCCTGCATCAGCTGACTTCTCCCACGCTGGAGCTCGTACGAAAAACAATGCAATTCAAATTACATTTCTCTATACATAACTGTGTCATATATATACCTATCTGCATTCGGATTAGGTTGGTGGATGTTGAATGTTTTCCAGGTATTGGGGTCACGCTGATGCGCCTTGCTGCATGTACTGGTGTGTGAGAGAGGTGGGGGACGAGGTAATGGGGGGATTGTGCCCACTGGTGGGGGTGAGAGGGGTGTAGAGGCTCTCTGTGGTGCGGATGAAGGGTGTGGACTGCAGGTTAGAGGAGTTGGGTTGGAGATTCTGGTAGGGGGTGAGGGGTAGGCCAGGTTCCCAAGGCCTGGAATGGGGCTTCGTTCACCTATCCGGTGGTGTCCAGAGGTAAATGTATCCAAAACCTCCCCCACTTCTATCCCACTCCCCCCCCCCCCTTTCCCTCCCTCCCTCTCCCATGAAATAACCCATCATGGCCCCTTCCCCTCCCCCAACATACAGCTCCCCTCAGATACAGCTTGTACTTCTATATTTACAGAATATAACTGAAATTGATGAGTTTTAATTATCTGGCGCTCCTGCAGCAATTACTGTGTTGAAATTAATGGCTTCAGTGCTGAAACTCTTCAATTGGCCAAGACACATAGAGTATGAATTTGTGAATGTTAAACCGGGTTAACAAAGTTAACTATTTGTATCTGCTGTTAGCTCTTGGGCCCCGCCTTTGTAATCGTTTGTTGTCTAATGAACCGACTCCTGAACTAGTTTCATTATCATATCTATTATATATATTTCTTTCTCTCATTCACATTCGCCCCTAGAATGCAGCCTAAAAGAGCTGTCTAGTTCCTAGATAGCGTTTTACTGCCAGGTGAACAGAAGCATCAGATGATGAGAAACTCTGGTCGATTGTTTCTCTCTCAGCTGGGAATCGAACCGAAATCCTTAGTGTTTCACAACACTAAGGATTTCGGTTCGATTCCCAGCTGGACCGCGAGGCCCAGTACGGTGTGCTCACCTACTTGTCCTGATAGACACGAGGATGTGGCTGTTTTAGAGTCAGCTACTGAAACAAAAGTTCCAAGTAGCACGGGCTATGGTGAGCCCGTAGTGGACTTACCTGGCACAGGAGCGGGGCAAGTAGCACGGGCTATGGTGAGCCCGTAGTGGACTTACCTGGCACATGAGCGGGGCAAGTAGCACGGGGCTATGGTGAGCCCGTAGTGGACTTACCTGGCACAGGAGCGGGGCTGTAACTAGCGAGGGTGTGATTATTTCATCATAATATACCAGTACAAGGTGAGAGGTGTTCATCTCTGTGTTCATGATCCACACGTCCGTGGACGTCAGCCTCTGGAGGGGTGTTCACGCCTCCACAGCACTTTACACACCAACCACCAAGTAAACATTTGTTCTGAGTGCAGCTCCACTCTTAAGACTTGATGTTCATCTGCTTGGTAGGGCTGTTAGACAGCTGTTCAACGCCGCAGCTGGTGTGGAAACTTGTTGGTGCTGCAGCTGGTGTGGCGGCTGGCACAGCAGGTGGCTGTGCCAGCTTTGGACGGACACTTCCCGTAGCCCTCCTGTGGTCTTTGCTCTCTTTAGTATAAATCTGGGACGGAGATAAGGCGCGCAGACGGGGTCAAAAGTGCCGCCAGTCATAAGTTGGGTGTTCCGGGTGGGTGGGTGAGTGTTCCCGGTGGACGGGTGGGTGTTCCGGGTGGACGAGGTGGGGATGTCGTTCCGGGAAGTCACAAGGATGTCTCGAAGGTGTTCGGGTCGGACACGTTGTTACTCCGGAAGGGTAGGTTGCCGTAGGCAGCAACAGGCGCCGGGCCAGAGGTGGGCGGCGGCCCTCCACCGCCAGCACCAGAACTGAGGTGATGCTATATACAACTTGATCTGTTTACTTGTGGGGGGGTCCCACGCCGTTGGGGGGCTGCTGGCTCCCGTTTAGCATTCCTGGTAGCTCTGCCCCCCCCCCCCTCATACACACACACACGCGCGCGTGAGTGTGCTCGCACTCGTGCACACGCGCACGGACATGGTTAATGTTCTAAAGGGTCGAATCAGGTAGTTAATAGGGCACTGAAGTATTGAACAGGACGGTAATGATGCTATTGAGAGAGTCGGATATTAAGGCAATAGGACTTGGCAGGATATTGTCCTGAGTACTGAAAGAATGAGCTGAATTCCTAAGGGTGCCAACTGCCCAAATATACAGTATACGGATTCATGCACGCACTCTCGCTTGCGTGCAGATGTACACACACACACACACACACACACACACACACACACACACACACACACACACACACACACACACACACACACACACACACACACACACACACACACACACACACACCTGTGGCCGGGATGAGTCGGGTGTGTGAGTGGGTGTACGGTCTTTGTCGGTGACTGTCTTTCTATAAAAACAACTGTCAAGAGTGAATGTGTCCATGTAGGAAGGCAGGTGTTTACATAATCGTCGGACATTGCCACAATGGCACAAACCTCAAATGGTCAGTTTTGCACTTCATTTTATCTCTCAAGTTTAGTTTTTATTCCATATAACTCACATGTATCGTGAGTTGAAGCTAATATCACGCTATTGAATGGGTTGACTACCTTGGCACGCTACAAGAATTGTTCAGGTTGGCTTGGAGTGCATCGCTGGCCTCCGGTGAGCGATGCCAGAACTCAGAGGGAAGCAACAGATATTCTTCGGGGCGCCCCCTCTCGTCCCAGGGCAACAATTTACGTGGGATTCGCACACAAGTGTAGCGAAGTGATCCACTGGCAGGGAGGGAGGGTTGGGAGGAGGTGCAACAGTTTCTCTGGTGTGTCAGCCAAAATTGAGGAGAATTCTTTGGCGAGCGACTCTGGGATCGCTACCGGATCTCCCGCAATAGAAACCCTGTTGACTTTTAAGCATCTCTCCGCTAACATTTTCCCA